GCTCGGACCCGGAGTAGTTCTCCGCGCAGCCTTTTTCGGGGGAGTACGATCTGTAGTCCCTCGCAACATTTCAGTTTCGTTATCAACGTTGCCGCGGGGGAATGAAGGGGTTTCGCTGTTTTTTTGTTTCGATTGCTGGGTGGGCTCTCTTGCTGTGCTTGCTTTGGTTCCTCTTGTCATGACCGACTGGCTCGAGCATACTGCGGCGCTGACATCGCTGCAGTTAATTTCAGGAGGTCTAAGAAAACGCAGTAGCAGCGAAATCAGCGACAGCGACGAAGATACCAGCTTAGGTCCAGCTCGGGTGACGACGAGGCAGCCGTTCTCGGCGAAGTCTTTGCCGACTCATTCGCCTTGCCAGCGAAGAGGCCCAAGGTATGGCGTTACGTCGAAGACGTTGTGCGCACCTATTCGGATGAAGAGCTAGGTATGTCGTTTGCTAGAAGACAATACGACAAATTCCCCTCAGATGGAACTCGCCTTCGGAGATGGCGGTCGCTTTACCGCATACGTGTTTGGTATTGCTTAATAGACCCTTTGCAAAACGTACAGCGCCACGACGGCAGGAAATTTTGGGAACCCTCGGTACAGATCACGCGCACGCGCTTTCTCGTTGCGCCTCCGCGACTGCGCGCGCGTACCGGCAGCTACCGCCAGCAGCCGTTGCAGCCATCCCCTCGAGTCGTACGTCGTTGCCGGCGTACCGTATCTGTGGCAGCGTAAAGGCATCGCGACAGGTGAACTCATTCCAATACGTTATTCGTCGGAACTTACCTTCACGTATTGAAGTGTCACCAAATCCATCTAGTTTGCACCGCAACCATGGCAGGTTTCGACCAGGTTCGACAAAGCGCTGGTGCAGCAGACGACAGAACCGGTACAAAGGAGAGGGATACGAAAGGGGCAGCCGTCGGATGCTTTGTTGCCGTGGTAACCTGTGCCTGCTCGCGTATGCCACGTGGAAGCCGGGGGAGGGGCGTACCGAGGACTCCCATTAGTTGAAGCGCGGCGCGCGCGGGCTTTTGGGATTTTTGCAAAGGGCCTATTGCATCCTGCGGCTCGTACAAAAGTACTTGTAGTTGTCTTCATCGGGTTTATATAACTGTAAGGAAAAATAAATACTGCCTCAACGTCGGGGTCACCGTTAATAAAGTAGTAACAATCAACATTTTTGTCAAAGCATGAAGTTCCCATCAGAACTTCATGCTTTCAGCAAGATAGCAATGGGAACCGAAACTGTTAAAAAGCGAGGGCAGACGCTATGAAAGCGGTGGCAGCGCGTGCAACTGGGTGGATCGCTTACTGAGGCCGACCGCTCAACGACCGCTTGCGCGGAGCGCTTGGCATCTGCCCGGGCGAAGGGCTGGATCGCGCATCCCCACTTGGTCGCTGCAGCTGCAGCGCGAGAGTGAAGCCACCGATCGGCGATTTTGCATGTTGAAAAATCGCGTTTTTGGAGCGTTCCGGAGGCTGGCGGCAACATGCTGAAGACACGTTTTCTACTCGTTCGTAGTCATTCGTCGAAGAAGCTCTTTAAACCCCTGTGTAAGCCCTGAGACTTGCCGTTGAGAACATGTGGAAGCGCAGTGCCGCAGTAAAAATGCCCAACTCATCGAAAGCAAGTTTCGCCGCCACGATGCAACGCGCAGGTCACGAGTGACCCGCGCGTTGCATCATTGGACTTTTTTCATAATGCAACGTGCGGGACCCTTGTGACGTCACACGTGACGTCAATTGTGACGTCATTATAGGAAACGTCCCATAATGCAATGCGCGGGTCACGAATGCGACTGCACATTGCATTATAGGACGTTTCCCATGACTCAACGCGTAGTTACGCCGACGGCGACGTTGGCGTCGCCGGCCCGCGCGTTGCATCATGAGACGCTTCCGATAATGCAATGCGCGGGTCACAAATGAGACGGCGCGTTGCATTATGGGACGTTTCCCATAACCCAACGCGCGGTTACGCCGACGGCGATGTTGGCGTCGCCGACCGCGCGTTGCATCATGGGACGCTTCCCATAATGCAACGCGCGGGACCCTCGTGACGCCACACACGCCGTCATTATGGGACGTTTCCCATAATGCAACGCGCGGTTACGCCGACGGCGACTGCGACGGCGATGCCGCTCAAGCCGGAAACGGGCGCCTAAGAGCTGCTCTCTAAAAAATTAATAGATGTAAACCAAATTGAATTTTCATTCCACAGCCATGTTTGATCCCGTCTTTTTTAACAAAACTGAAATAAGCCTTTGTTAAGTGGTTTAAGGATGACGCGGCGTTAATACTAGGCCAAGGATAATATTAGGTGTCACCTTTTAGCATATTGAAGACATGCCAAACCTAACGGTCATTTGTAACCATCATATAGTTTCCATATCAGCGAAAAAGCCATGTCGGTTACATATCAAAACTTGCGCGGCTCGAATGGCCTGTGAAAGCAGCGAAAAAACGATGTCGGCCAGTCACCGAAAACTCAGTGGCTGAACTGGCCGGTGATAACAGAAAGAAAACGATGTCGGCCAGTCAGCGGAGACTCCACGGCTAGACTGGCCGCTGACTACAGCAAGAAAACGATGTCGGCCAGTCACCGGAAACTCCATGGCTAGACTGGCCAGTGACTACAGCAAGAAAACGATATCGGCCAGTCACCGGAAACTCCACGGCTAGACTGGCCGGTGACTACAGCAAGAAAACGATGTCGGCCAGTCACCGGAAACTCCATGGCTAGACTGGCCGGTGACTACAGCAAGAAAACGATGTCGGCCGGTATCGGGAACTTTCCGGCTGGTGCTGACCAGTTTAGACAACGAGTCCCCGATATCGGCCGGCGTCGGTTTCTCACCGGCGTCCCTGGCCGGGATCCGCCGCACAGCTCCCGGTACTGGCCGACGTAATCCCAGTATCGGCCGACATGGTGTGCTATTGATAGACGTGCTGCGCTGCGAAGTTCTACAGAACAAACGCGTGACTAAAAAATTGAAAATGAAAAGGATGAGTTTACATTGAGATGAGAAGAAACACAACGAACACAAATGGGCGCAGACTAACAACTGTTTATTCTTTTCTTTTTCCTCCTTTTCAATTCATGATTTTCCCAATGCGTGAGTTTGAAAAGGAGCGAACGCTATGAAATAATGATAAATGTCTTCATGAAGATGTGTGGACTTTCGATTTTTGTGGTGTTTTTCCCGTTTTTTGATAAACGTTCGGTTTTTGTGGTGTGAGGGGGGACCTTGAAGCTGGTGCTGGTGTCCGCCTCGTTATGTTATGGATTGTCTCAGCAGTTCAATTTCCTTTTTGTTCAGAGCAATGGAAGGATCACTGACACACTTGCCGTGCTTCCCTGATGCCATGTGGAAGGCCTCTATGATTTCTCGTTTGTTTCTATTTTTTGATCTGTCCATTACTGATGTGTTTTCGAATAGCGGTTCACAGCTGCATCTCGCGCAATGCGCTGCTAAGTTGCCAGGTGCTTGCAGTTGCCCGCATGAATATTTATGCTCTCTGAGTCGGTCATTTAAGCACCTCCCCGTTTGCCCGATGTATGAGTTTCCGCACGTCAATGGTATCTTGTAGACGACCCCTTCTACGCATTCGACGAACTTGTTTTTATGCTTTACCCGACACGACGATTGACCCGATGTGTCGCCTTCCTCTTCGTTAACCTTTTTGCACAGTCCTTTAAGCTTGAATGGGGCGGATAGGGCTACTTTGACCTCGTGCGTTTCGGCGATCTTTTTCAGTTGGTGCGAAAATTGATGAATGTATGGCATCACTACCAGAGGTTTTTTGACCTGATCCTTTTCCTTGGTTTTGTGATTGCCTCTGAGTGTTGCTATGCATTTTTCTGCCACAGATACTAGCAGGGACTCTGGGTAGCCGCTTGCTTGTAGTCGGGTGATTTGCCTTTGTAGGCCTTCTGACATTCTGTGGTGGCAAGATTTCTTTATGGCCTGCCATGGGCACCCAGAGGCGACGCTCCTCTTTACCAATTCGGTGTGCCCCGAGTCGTACGGTAGTATGCCTTTTGCCCCTCTTGTCTTGTACATCCAGCATGTATGCTTTTCTCCAAATGCCATTTTGATGTCTAAGAATTGCAGCCTGCTTCTTTCCGGTGGTTCAAATGTGAATTCTAGGCCTCTGTGCACTTGCTTGAAGCTCTGCTTGACCTTTTCGCACACGTGGTCTGTCATTTTGTTCATAGGGAAACATACCAGGAAATCGTCCACGTATCTAAAGCACTTTTTAACTCCGATCTCCTGGAAAAACGGCACTAGATCTCTGTTTCCTCTTGCAAGGTATATGTCGCATAAGGCTGGTGCGATGCACGAACCTATGCAAATGCCCTCTTTTTGCGTGTAAACACTTCCTTCATACATAACGTGCAGGGAGCTTAAGTATGTGCGGAGGAGATCGAGGAAATCGGATGTGCTGATCCCACTCTGGTTTTGGAATTTTACGCCTCCGTAGACGTCGATGCACTCTTCCACTGCCTCTAAGGCTCCTTGCTGTGGCACGTTGTAGAACATGTCTTTTACATCTACCGAGAAGGCAATGATGGGTTGTGTTCCATTCAGGAATTTCACCACCTCATCCGAGTTGCGTACCAGGAACGGATCATCGATTTGTAGAAGTGACAAGGATTTCTGTAGTTCTCTTGCAATCACATGCTGCCATGTGCCTTTGTCTTCTACTATTACCCGGAATGGACTGCCTTCTTTGTGCGTTTTGACTGCAAAGAATGGGTTTAGACATAGTTGACTGCTGCCTTTTACTTCCTTCGCTATCTTGGTGATGCCTAGTTCTTCACACTGTCTGGCCATTTGTGCTCTGGCGTTTTTCATACACCTTTCGTTGATGTCTTTTCGTTCCTCGAAGTTTTTCAGCATGGATTCTTTGGCTTTGTTTTTGTACATTTTCTGTTCTAAGATGACGAACTCTCCTGTCTTGTCAGCTAGCAGGAGGCTGCAGTTGTTTCTTCTAATCCAACGTACCGTGTGGTTGGTGTTCACGCCTGGTTGCCTGGCTGTTTTTAATTTGTTGGAAACAGCTCTGATGCCGGCAGCTATGCATGCGTTTTTCTCTTCTTCAGAAACCTTCCTTGCAACGTCGTGCACCATACCGATCAGGTCCACAGTTTTGGCCTTAGGCTCTACTGCATATTTGGGTCCTTTTTCTAATGTCTTGGAGACGTTGTCTGGGATGGTTAGATTGGTCATGTTGACGAGCCTTTCTTTTTCGTCCTTCATCCTTTTTTTCTTTTTCGGCATGTTGTTCATGCATTTAGTCCACTGGCTCTCACCCTGGCTCTCCGCTATATCGATGAAGTAGTTGTACATCAACTTGGCTCGGGTCGGTGATAAAAAGGCATCGCAAATACTCCTGATGTTGAGCTTGAAGAAGCGTACTTGCCTCCAAGTCTCGGAGCGCAGCATTTTGCAGCAACGCCTTGCTGTGGCCTCCCCCGGTGCCATCCTTCCGAATAAGGAAATCAGAACAGGTGCTGACAAGCCGTGTGTGAGGGCGTACGTCAGAATGCGTGTCCTGCATCTTGCCTCAGCAATGAATCCGATGAAGTGATGTATGCGTGGGAGAGGTGGTGATGGGAGAACATGAAAGCCCGATGCACTCGAAATGAAGATTATTAAAGCTTGGACTTGGGTTTGGGCTAGTTGGTTGTACATTGATAGACGTGCTGCGCTGCGAAGTTCTACAGAACAAACGCGTGACTAAAAAATTGAAAATGAAAAGGATGAGTTTACATTGAGATGAGAAGAAACACAACGAACACAAATGGGCGCAGACTAACAACTGTTTATTCTTTTCTTTTTCCTCCTTTTCAATTCATGATTTTCCCAATGCGTGAGTTTGAAAAGGAGCGAACGCTATGAAATAATGATAAATGTCTTCATGAAGATGTGTGGACTTTCGATTTTTGTGGTGTTTTTCCCGTTTTTTGATAAACGTTCGGTTTTTGTGGTGTGAGGGGGGACCTTGAAGCTGGTGCTGGTGTCCGCCTCGTTATGTTATGGATTGTCTCAGCAGTTCAATTTCCTTTTTGTTCAGAGCAATGGAAGGATCACTGACACACTTGCCGTGCTTCCCTGATGCCATGTGGAAGGCCTCTATGATTTCTCGTTTGTTTCTATTTTTTGATCTGTCCATTACTGATGTGTTTTCGAATAGCGGTTCACAGCTGCATCTCGCGCAATGCGCTGCTAAGTTGCCAGGTGCTTGCAGTTGCCCGCATGAATATTTATGCTCTCTGAGTCGGTCATTTAAGCACCTCCCCGTTTGCCCGATGTATGAGTTTCCGCACGTCAATGGTATCTTGTAGACGACCCCTTCTACGCATTCGACGAACTTGTTTTTATGCTTTACCCGACACGACGATTGACCCGATGTGTCGCCTTCCTCTTCGTTAACCTTTTTGCACAGTCCTTTAAGCTTGAATGGGGCGGATAGGGCTACTTTGACCTCGTGCGTTTCGGCGATCTTTTTCAGTTGGTGCGAAAATTGATGAATGTATGGCATCACTACCAGAGGTTTTTTGACCTGATCCTTTTCCTTGGTTTTGTGATTGCCTCTGAGTGTTGCTATGCATTTTTCTGCCACAGATACTAGCAGGGACTCTGGGTAGCCGCTTGCTTGTAGTCGGGTGATTTGCCTTTGTAGGCCTTCTGACATTCTGTGGTGGCAAGATTTCTTTATGGCCTGCCATACGCACCCAGAGGCGACGCTCCTCTTTACCAATTTGGTGTGCCCCGAGTCGTACGGTAGTATGCCTTTTGCCCCTCTTGTCTTGTACATCCAGCATGTATGCTTTTCTCCAAATGCCATTTCGATGTCTAAGAATTGCAGCCTGCTTCTTTCCGGTGGTTCAAATGTGAATTCTAGGCCTCTGTGCACTTGCTTGAAGCTCTGCTTGACCTTTTCGCACACGTGGTCTGTCATTTTGTTCATAGGGAAACATACCAGGAAATCGTCCACGTATCTAAAGCACTTTTTAACTCCGATTTCCTGGTATGTTTCCCTATGAACAAAATGACAGACCACGTGTGCGAAAAGGTCAAGCAGAGCTTCAAGCAAGTGCACAGAGGCCTAGAATTCACATTTGAACCACCGGAAAGAAGCAGGCTGCAATTCTTAGACATCGAAATGGCATTTGGAGAAAAGCATACATGCTGGATGTACAAGACAAGAGGGGCAAAAGGCATACTACCGTACGACTCGGGGCACACCAAATTGGTAAAGAGGAGCGTCGCCTCTGGGTGCGTATGGCAGGCCATAAAGAAATCTTGCCACCACAGAATGTCAGAAGGCCTACAAAGGCAAATCACCCGACTACAAGCAAGCGGCTACCCAGAGTCCCTGCTAGTATCTGTGGCAGAAAAATGCATAGCAACACTCAGAGGCAATCACAAAACCAAGGAAAAGGATCAGGTCAAAAAACCTCTGGTAGTGATGCCATACATTCATCAATTTTCGCACCAACTGAAAAAGATCGCCGAAACGCACGAGGTCAAAGTAGCCCTATCCGCCCCATTCAAGCTTAAAGGACTGTGCAAAAAGGTTAACGAAGAGGAAGGCGACACATCGGGTCAATCGTCGTGTCGGGTAAAGCATAAAAACAAGTTCGTCGAATGCGTAGAAGGGGTCGTCTACAAGATACCATTGACGTGCGGAAACTCATACATGGGGCAAACGGGGAGGTGCTTAAATGACCGACTCAGAGAGCATAAATATTCATGCGGGCAACTGCAAGCACCTGGCAACTTAGCAGCGCATTGCGCGAGATGCAGCTGTGAACCGCTATTCGAAAACACATCAGTAATGGACAGATCAAAAAATAGAAACAAACGAGAAATCATAGAGGCCTTCCACATGGCATCAGGGAAGCACGGCAAGTGTGTCAGTGATCCTTCCATTGCTCTGAACAAAAAGGAAATTGAACTGCTGAGACAATCCATAACATAACGAGGCGGACACCAGCACCAGCTTCAAGGTCCCCCCTCGCACCACAAAAACCGAACGTTTATCAAAAAACGGGAAAAACACCACAAAAATCGAAAGTCCACACATCTTCATGAAGACATTTATCATTATTTCATAGCGTTCGCTCCTTTTCAAACTCACGCATTGGGAAAATCATGAATTGAAAAGGAGGAAAAAGAAAAGAATAAACAGTTGTTAGTCTGCGCCCATTTGTGTTCGTTGTGTTTCTTCTCATCTCAATGTAAACTCATCCTTTTCATTTTCAATTTTTTAGTCACGCGTTTGTTCTGTAGAACTTCGCAGCGCAGCACGTCTATCAATGTACAACCAACTAGCCCAAACCCAAGTCCAAGCTTTAATAATCTTCATTTCGAGTGCATCGGGCTTTCATGTTCTCCCATCACCACCTCTCCCACGCATACATCACTTCATCGGATTCATTGCTGAGGCAAGATGCAGGACACGCATTCTGACGTACGCCCTCACACACGGCTTGTCAGCACCTGTTCTGATTTCCTTATTCGGAAGGATGGCACCGGGGGAGGCCACAGCAAGGCGTTGCTGCAAAATGCTGCGCTCCGAGACTTGGAGGCAAGTACGCTTCTTCAAGCTCAACATCAGGAGTATTTGCGATGCCTTTTTATCACCGACCCGAGCCAAGTTGATGTACAACTACTTCATCGATATAGCGGAGAGCCAGGGTGAGAGCCAGTGGACTAAATGCATGAACAACATGCCGAAAAAGGAAAAAAAGGATGAAGGACGAAAAAGAAAGGCTCGTCAACATGACCAATCTAACCATCCCAGACAACGTCTCCAAGACATTAGAAAAAGGACCCAAATATGCAGTAGAGCCTAAGGCCAAAACTGTGGACCTGATCGGTATGGTGCACGACGTTGCAAGGAAGGTTTCTGAAGAAGAGAAAAACGCATGCATAGCTGCCGGCATCAGAGCTGTTTCCAACAAATTAAAAACAGCCAGGCAACCAGGCGTGAACACCAACCACACGGTACGTTGGATTAGAAGAAACAACTGCAGCCTCCTGCTAGCTGACAAGACAGGAGAGTTCGTCATCTTAGAACAGAAAATGTACAAAAACAAAGCCAAAGAATCCATGCTGAAAAACTTCGAGGAACGAAAAGACATCAACGAAAGGTGTATGAAAAACGCCAGAGCACAAATGGCCAGACAGTGTGAAGAACTAGGCATCACCAAGATAGCGAAGGAAGTAAAAGGCAGCAGTCAACTATGTCTAAACCCATTCTTTGCAGTCAAAACGCACAAAGAAGGCAGTCCATTCCGGGTAATAGTAGAAGACAAAGGCACATGGCAGCATGTGATTGCAAGAGAACTACAAAAATCCTTGTCACTTCTACAAATCGATGATCCGTTCCTGGTACGCAACTCGGATGAGGTGGTGGAATTCCTGAATGGAACACAACCCATCATTGCCTTCTCGGTAGATGTAAAAGACATGTTCTACAACGTGCCACAGCAAGGAGCCTTAGAGGCAGTGGAAGAGTGCATCGACGTCTACGGAGGCGTAAAATTCCAAAACCAGAGTGGGATCAGCACATCCGATTTCCTCGATCTCCTCCGCACATACTTAAGCTCCCTGCACGTTATGTATGAAGGAAGTGTTTACACGCAAAAAGAGGGCATTTGCATAGGTTCGTGCATCGCACCAGCCTTATGCGACATATACCTTGCAAGAGGAAACAGAGATCTAGTGCCGTTTTTCCAGGAGATCGGAGTTAAAAAGTGCTTTAGATACGTGGACGATTTCCTGGTATGTTTCCCTATGAACAAAATGACAGACCACGTGTGCGAAAAGGTCAAGCAGAGCTTCAAGCAAGTGCACAGAGGCCTAGAATTCACATTTGAACCACCGGAAAGAAGCAGGCTGCAATTCTTAGACATCGAAATGGCATTTGGAGAAAAGCATACATGCTGGATGTACAAGACAAGAGGGGCAAAAGGCATACTACCGTACGACTCGGGGCACACCAAATTGGTAAAGAGGAGCGTCGCCTCTGGGTGCGTATGGCAGGCCATAAAGAAATCTTGCCACCACAGAATGTCAGAAGGCCTACAAAGGCAAATCACCCGACTACAAGCAAGCGGCTACCCAGAGTCCCTGCTAGTATCTGTGGCAGAAAAATGCATAGCAACACTCAGAGGCAATCACAAAACCAAGGAAAAGGATCAGGTCAAAAAACCTCTAGTAGTGATGCCATACATTCATCAATTTTCGCACCAACTGAAAAAGATCGCCGAAACGCACGAGGTCAAAGTAGCCCTATCCGCCCCATTCAAGCTTAAAGGACTGTGCAAAAAGGTTAACGAAGAGGAAGGCGACACATCGGGTCAATCGTCGTGTCGGGTAAAGCATAAAAACAAGTTCGTCGAATGCGTAGAAGGGGTCGTCTACAAGATACCATTGACGTGCGGAAACTCATACATCGGGCAAACGGGGAGGTGCTTAAATGACCGACTCAGAGAGCATAAATATTCATGCGGGCAACTGCAAGCACCTGGCAACTTAGCAGCGCATTGCGCGAGATGCAGCTGTGAACCGCTATTCGAAAACACATCAGTAATGGACAGATCAAAAAATAGAAACAAACGAGAAATCATAGAGGCCTTCCACATGGCATCAGGGAAGCACGGCAAGTGTGTCAGTGATCCTTCCATTGCTCTGAACAAAAAGGAAATTGAACTGCTGAGACAATCCATAACATAACGAGGCGGACACCAGCACCAGCTTCAAGGTCCCCCCTCACACCACAAAAACCGAACGTTTATCAAAAAACGGGAAAAACACCACAAAAATCGAAAGTCCACACATCTTCATGAAGACATTTATCATTATTTCATAGCGTTCGCTCCTTTTCAAACTCACGCATTGGGAAAATCATGAATTGAAAAGGAGGAAAAAGAAAAGAATAAACAGTTGTTAGTCTGCGCCCATTTGTGTTCGTTGTGTTTCTTCTCATCTCAATGTAAACTCATCCTTTTCATTTTCAATTTTTTAGTCACGCGTTTGTTCTGTAGAACTTCGCAGCGCAGCACGTCTATCAATGTACAACCAACTAGCCCAAACCCAAGTCCAAGCTTTAATAATGGTGTGCTACCTGGGATGTACCAAAGTAGAAGTAAAACGAATATTGACTTTTATAATAAGTGGTCTTGGAACACCACCGCTAGTAGTGTTCCAAGTTTCTTTAAGTGGTGCAGTTTGAGATTACCACTCCTCAGAGTAATTTACTGTACATATTTTCTGTTCAACTTTGGTCCTTTAACATTTAGAATATAGGTTGTTTACATATTCGTGTTATACTTTATGACAATTATCTTTTTAACCTGCACTGGTAGGGATTGTTGTAGAAGTAGCAGGGGCAACGCTTTGTGTGCCTATTGTTTTGATATTGGAGCCTGGTAGCATACATCTATTTTGTGTCTGCAATGTTTGCTGCCTGTACTGTCTAATAGCTATACATTGTGCCTTTCTAGGTTGAAGTAGTTTTTTTAAAAATGGGATTGCATATTCGTTTTTCTGATCTATCTACAGCGTATTCACCCCTAAGCTTTTATACTTATGCGCCTTGCTTTGATATCACCTAATCTTTCCAGTCAGGGCAGTGGCAGCTGATCGTGACCGCACGCCGCCAAGGGCCAGCCGATGTCGGCATTCTCGTCAAATCATTTCAAAGGGACATGAATGTTGACGCCATAAGAGCCGTCATTTATAATGGAAGGAGCGTTGTGACGGCTGGCATTGTTCCAGTTATATACGTAAAGGTTACGAAAGGTAATAACGTGGTACGGCATGCTGACGTGGTTGCGATGGTCACACCACATAATACTTCATCCGGAGCCCGCATCACACTTCGCGACGACGGTGTAGGTGAGAACGCCCCTTGTCAGTATGTTCACTCAGCAATTACATCGTGAAACATTTACATAAATTACTTTTAGAGTTTTAACTAGGGCTGGGCATTTGATCGATTAACCTAGCGATTAATCGATTAATGCTTTAATCGCGATTAATTTGCCTAACCGGTAAAAATTTGACGAGCCAGAATTAAAAAAAAATTAAATGCTTTCGCCAAGCAGACATGAACGACCACACATATGTGAAGTGAAAACTTTAGGTGAAATATTAGCTTAAGGTAAACTGTAAAAGGGAGATATGTAACTTCATACAAGTGCAGAAGGTTTTCACATGTCCCAGCGATTTCAACGACGTGCAAGTGTCCGTTTAGTGCAGCAGAGATTATTTTGTGAGTAATGAAAGGAAGCCGCCCATCCCGGAGAATATCAACGAACATTTTTGTCTCATGGAGCTCAAATAGTAATCTGTGAGTGTGAGTGTTTTTGAACTGTTTTCAACTGCACATCGAAGTTGATTCATAATTAAAATTACTGCGTCGTTTACCACATTTTCAGCAAAAAGAAAAACAAAAGGAGAAACAAGATGCAATTTTTATTTTTAAGCAGTATTATTATGCATGAAAATGGACGAGACCGATTAATCGATTAATTAATCGAATAAATGGTGGCGATTAATCGGGTTAAAATTTTTAATCGACGCCCAGCCCTAGTTTTAACGTAAGCGCTTTCCCAGAATTGTGCATACACTCGAAGAAATGCCTGCTCGTCTACATAACCGGCAAAACCTCTCGAAGAGCCAATCTCTTCGATCTACCAAATCAGCTCAGCGAATGATGGGCCGGAACATGTGTTTAGACTTCAGAATTTAGTCTGCGCCATGGCATTGCGCAATGCAACCATGACGTTTTGTTATGCGCAATGCCACAGCGGAAACTTCATTCCTAGGTCTAGACGGATGTTTCGTCTCATCATTCGCTGAGCTCTTTGAGTGTTTTTGAGTGTTTTTCGGGTAAGTAGACGCGCAGGCACTTCTTAGAGTGTAGCAGGTAAGGTGTATACTCTTCTCATAATATGAACTAACACCCCTACAAACATAGCCAGAGCGAACTATGAAGAAAAGAGTGACACTAAAACTAAACCTGAATAGTTATTGACAGCTAAAGAGATGCGGGGCGTGTCGAGGCCCGAGCATTTGATGATCACTCAGTAGCTAATGAGATGGCGGTATTAGACGATAAGATCGCATAAGAACCAATCAGAAAGCAAGAAGCTGTAGCACACTGAACCACGTCCGGCGTTCCTTAAGCTCTCGGCAAATATCACAAAAGATATGCAGGCGGTTTCCAAGTCCGGCATAAAATCTTCTACGATCAATCGATATAGCGAGTTGTGAACTCCATATGAGTGTATATAAAGGCTGCCCGAAATTCCGAGGGTGGATGAAATATGGGACGAATCTATCAACATCTTCACGCCGCAACCGAAATTTGTTCTTAAAAGTGTAGTTCACAGGTGGGTTTTACTTTGTAAACTTACAGAGCGTAACCCTCTTTCTCTTGAAAAGATAAAGTCAAACAACCTACAAGGGTAAACGGAAGACGGTGACGCATACGACCGAATCGAGTGGCGGGGCGCGTTTGGCAAACGTATTGATAGATGGCGCAAAATCCTTATCAAGACCGCTCGCGACGGACGTGGTCTATTAAAACGGGCATAATATTTTTATAAGGTGCGTTTGCTTTCAAGATTAATGCGAACAGTGATGCCAGAACTTAATGTAACCAAAATAAAGGAAAATCCGGTTGCATAACGAGGGCGCTTTGCTGCAGAGGGATTATGTTTGTAAGTCTCTTTCACGGCCACACCTTCTGACGCTGTTCCTGACGCCCTCTATCGTTATGTGCGCCAAACGCGCCCGTAACCCGACTTGGTCGTCTGCGTCGCCGTCCCACGTTGACTCTGGGAAGCATTTTGCCCTATTTCTTACAGTTAAGGACGTACGCTTTGTAATTTTCCAAGGTAAAACCCACCCATGGAATACACCTCTGACGAAAATGTTTCACTGCTACCTGAAGGCGGAGATTTTTAAGCCCCATTTTAGTTCCAGTCTGGGTA